ACTTCTTAGGACTCTTGGAAACTTTAAACACGTTTATTAATAAAACCTCTCAGTATGTATCTTGATAAACTACTTATTGATATTTGTGTTTCTAGTGTTAATTAATCGCTTTTGTTTGACAACCACTGGTGATGTTAAGACTCGCTTGGGTTCATAATTGGGATATCGTGAATGGCTGAACTATTATTCAGTAGTCGTTCATGGTCGTTTAAGGCCCACCAACGGTGAGGCAAACGGTAAACCAGTACATTTACTATAAAATAACGATCGGCTACTCGAACAGATTGTGTGGCTGCCCTGTGGTTGTTCAAACGTTGGATAGCGCTATCCACTGGATAAATCACTGTCCAGCGATAAGTATTAGGAAAACCAATTGCGCTATCCATTGGATAAAGATTTATCCACCTATGAGCAACTGGGGCCTGGAGCAAACCTGTTACTGGACCTAATATATTATAACACTGACCCGAAGTCATTGAGTTTTGTGTTCTCGTTTTGACAGCGCGTTAGAAGAATAGACATATGATGGATGAGTTTAAATGGAATTAAAATTCTCGGGGAAATGTGTGTCTACGCAAAAGTAGAGTTTGAATGCTGTCCACCAGAAAAAAGCAAAAAAGCCCTTAAAATGGGATATCTTTTCTAGATATCCTTAAACTCTCTTATTTATATTTTTATGCGCCTTTTCAAACTTTATCTTCGCTTTTCTTCTCAACATTTCCTCCTGTTCCAAGGCCTCTAAATCCTTTTTCAGCAGCCATTCTTCATGTTTTTTTGACTTCTGCCACTGTCTCTCATGTTCAAAATCTCCTTTGTGATCTTGCTGCCTCCGTACGGCAGCAGTCACGGGCCTCATTCTCTCGGCCGAGGCCTCCTTTCTGTCAAGCCACTCGGTAAAAGACATCCGGGAATTACCATGTCTAGCGGTCTGCGGTCGTTTATTTTCGCTCCACGCGAAAAGGCGCACATTTTGCTCGTATAGTTCGTGTTTCGTGTACTGTGTAGCCGTATTCTCGCTGCTTTTGCCAGGAAGTGAACCTGAACGCGCCTTTGTTCTCCACTCGTTCCATGGTAGGCTTTCACGTGGCTTATCGCGAAGCTCTAATCTTGCGCGAAGCTGTGGACTGACACCAAACCTGTTAATGTTGAAGCAACCAAGTCATGGTCAGCAAATGATAATTAAGCGCAGGTAAGAGACGCTACAAAAGGCTATTATGGACCTTACGAATATACGACGGCGACAGCAAAGGAAACGTTGAAAACAAGAAATAGGTCTAGGCTATTGGTTACACTGCATACCGGATGGCTTTTGGTGACTCTCCATTTTAGAGATCGACGCGGCGAAGCTTCGCTACGTTCATTGAAATGGCGCCAGAATCACCATTT